TCACTGGAAGGACAGATCCTGAAGCTGAGGCTCCAATACTTTGGCCATCTCATGAGAAGAGAGGACTCCCTGGAAAAGACCTTAATGTTGGGAAAGTGTGAAGGCAAGAGGAGAAGGGGACGACAGAGGATGAGATGGTTGGACAGTGTCACCGAAGCAACCAACATGAATCTGACCCAACTCCGGGAGGCAGTGGAAGATAGGAGGGCCTGGCGTGCTCTGGTCCATGGGGTCACGAAGAGTTGGACACGACTAAACGACTAAACGAACGAACGAATCAATCAGTCCCCAGGCTTGTGAATGACTGATTCCACTGAAGATGACTGCAAGCAAGCAAGAGGAGGGAAAGGCTCCAGTTAACAAGGGAAGGAAGGTGCGATAGACTGACAGCTTCATCAAGCTTGTTTAAATGTATGTAGAAAATGGTGGGAGGGAGGGAGGGTGGATGCGTGTGTATGAGAGAGAGAGAGAGACTGAGTCAAAACTATGAAAAAAGGAACAGGCAAGCAAAACAGAATGCTTGAATTAAGGCAGGAAAAAAGGGTGGCCTCATCAAGCTTGTTTAAATTAATAAGAGGAAATGGACATACTGAACTGAAGCGACTAATTGCTGAAAACTGAGTGTCACATTCTTGGGGGTTTCTGCAGCAGAGTCCGATAAGCCAGTCCAATGTCAGAAGTTCAGAGAATGCATTGCCGATATCAAAATACCAAAGCCAAATCACAAACCATAATCTGAGGGCAGATCTTAGGGTTTTTTTAATGTTGAGCTTCAGACCATTTTTTGCACTCTCCTCTTTCACCCTCATTAAGAGGTTCTTTAGTTCCTCCTCACTTTCTGCCATCAGAGTGGTATCATCTGCGCACCACACACAGAATGATTAAAGTGGTAGGAAAAGCCCCACCCAACTCTGCGTTGGCTGTCTCTAGCAAGCATGTCATTGCAAGCACCACTCTGGCAGCCATTGATGATGATTAAATCCTCTGTGATCTAGCAAAAATTTAATGCAGGGGTCTCAAACTCAAATAATGAGCCTCGTGGCGCAGTGGTTAAAACGCTGTACTGCAGCTAAAACTGTGCTCACGACCTGGGGTTCAAATCCCAGGTAGCCGGCTCAAGGTTGACTCAGCCTTCCATCCTTCCGAGGTCGGTAAAATGAGTACCCAGCTTGCTGGGGGGGCAATGTGTAGCCTGTATAATTAAATTGTAAACCGCCCGGAGAGTGCTTGTAGCGCTATGGGGCGGTATATAAGTCCAATAAATAATAATAATAACAATAATAATAATTTACCCGGGGGCCGCTGGAGGCAGAATCCAGGTGAGGCTGGGCCGCATCAGATTTTCCGCCAAGCAGAGCAAGAGCCCGAGGAAGCTGTCCAGGAATTTCCTTAGCCCAGCTGGGGCTCTGAGGGGGAGGGAGAGGGGCGTGTGAGCCCTTCTCGCCAACCATGACCCCCTCCAGCTCCTTCTTCACTACTACCACCACCAGCAGGATGAAGAAGCAGAGAAGGGAGGGAGCGCCGGCGACCACCTAGCCAGAGGGAGGAGGGCACGACATAAAATTTTAAAAAACCCTCACAGGATTCACCTTGCCAAAGGAGAAAAGCCCCCACTGGTACCCACAAAAGTAAACAGAATGGGGTGGGGGCCCCCACAGGGGCGCGCGCATACGCACATGCAAACACACACACACAGAGGTCTGGAAACCTTCCTCTGAGGGCCCCCCTCAAAAAAAGGCACACTCAGC